TGACGGTGAGCGAGTGATGTAATGCTAAATTTCTCCAAATCTGTTGCGATTTAAAGTAAAATAAACAAAAAAACAAATAGATAATTATACCCCGGAAACAGTAATGTTATTAGAATGGATTCAAATTACATTTCTGAAAAATGCTCAACCATTCTGCAGCAAGTTTTAATACTATCTGCCTATTTCCTATGTAAGAAATGTTTAAAAAGAAAAAGAAAATGAAGTGACAATAAAAGGGTTAATTTCTAGATTACTATTATTCAATTATACTTTTGGAGTCATAACATAACAGTAAACCCAATCTCTACAGAACTCTGTGTTTTTTTGTTTTTCAGTCATTTGACTTTTTTTGTTCGCATGCAGATCAAATCATTTGCATTCTCCATTGTCACTTGTTTAATTCATTGTTTGTCAAATGCGTGCACACAGTGCATGCACATACACACAGACACACTGCTCACTTTTTATTAAAATACGTGTGCCACACCAACAACATTGTCCCACTTGTACAACACAGAGAAAAAATGCATTAGTGTGGGCAGCAAGATGATATAAAAAAATCTATATTTCTGCAGGAACACTCTGGGTTTTATTTCTGTGCTGGAAAAGGCCTGGGGGATAAAGACGCTGTGTATGCATTATTGTAGCAGGTCAGTGCTGACAGGAGAGGGAGGCTATGCTCCCTAAAGGCCTGCACTGCTGGGGCCCTGCTGTCTTCTCTGCCCAGCCCCTTCTGTCATCACCCTCATCGGGATAAACAGTCCCTGAAAACAGTCAGAGAGCGGGGGAAAACTGAAGATAAAAGAGTGTTTTCATCTTTTTTTTCCCACTCCAGGCAGCACAAATTTGTTTGGAGTTCTTTATACAGTGGAAAGAAAGAAATTGTGTGTTGTTGTGCAGAGCTTTGTTAAGGGTTATCTCCCCTCATTCCAGACCCCTGACTGACTGGCAAAGCCCAGTGGACCGCAGTGGACTTCAAACTTTATTCATCTGAGCCGTCTGACAGATTTCCTCTCTTTCTTTTTATATGTATGGGTGTGTGATATATGTCGTCTATGATAACATTGTATTTGTTGTTTTAACGATGTGCGATTTGACATTATCGAGTCAAAAACCAAACAAAACACACCTACTGAGTGCATGCATAAACTACAGTGCCCTCCACAAGCATTGGAACAGTAATGTGAAAATTGCTTTGTCTGCTGTGGAGTCAAGACATCTGCAAATATGATTAAAAGATGAATATGAGACAAAACTACAGAATGTCACACTGTTTCAACACATTCATGTTTTACCAAATAAAAAGGACAGCACTTTTAGAGTTCCATTCCCTAATCTGATGTGAGCATAAGTATTGGGACAGTTGAACTTAAAGCAAATGTAAAAGTTTAAAAGCTAACATTTAGTTGTGAATCCCTTGCTTGCAATCACAGCAGTGAGTCTGCCACCCACAGACATCACCAGACTCTTGGTTTCATCCATTGAAATGCTTTTCCCAGCCTTTAATACAGCCAATTTCAACTGTTGCTTGGTTTAGGGAGTTTCGGCCTTTAGTCTCCTCTTTAGCTGGTGAAATTCATGTTCAATAGGATTTAAATCTGGAGACTGACTTGGGCTATCTAAGACCTTCCAATTCTTTGCCCTAATAAACTCGTTGACTGAACTAGCAGGGAGATTTGGGTCATTGTCCTGTTGCAATATGAAGTACTTCTGATGAGTCTTGCGGCATTTTCTTGAACAATGGTAGCCAAGATGTTTTTGTACAACACACAAAATATATTTTGAAAGTCAAGTAGACCACACATATTGGACTACTTTGACTTTCATTGTATGGGGAAATATTTTAAAAAAAAATTAAATTAAGAAAAATGCATACAGGTTTGGATCGACATGAAGGAGAGTAAATGATTTTTGAGTGAAATATCCCTTTACATTTACATTCACATACCCAAAGCCTCGCTCTATTCAGTGGAAGGAATAGAGTAATAAGTTGGTTCTCTTGTAAAGTAATGATCAAACTGGTTCACAAAATGGTCAGAATGATTCATTAGCAAATTTCTCTTGAATCGTTTATTGATATAATTACTGGATCTCTATAAGTGTCTGCTTTTGAAGCTAAATATCAAATATAATATCTTCACCCAAAGTCTCTATTCTGTGTAAAGGCTAGGGCTGCACGATAAATCGCATGCGATATTTAACGCGCATCTTGTCAGTAAAGTCGGTTCTTTAATCAGCAGTAAATCTCCATCACCTGCTGGCTTTCACATGGAGCAGCATTAACTACACAGAGCCGTTGTTCACCGACAAGCTGCGCAAAACATGCGCAAAATATGATCGTGGTTTTGCGCAGCTTGTCAGTGAACAACGGCTC